AACACACAGGTACTCAGTTGCTTTCACATACCAGCAAGATGGTAGGACAATTGCTACAAAAATCTATCCTTGTTTTGTGTTGCTTATACCAAGGCTACGGAGTCTATGCAAAACTGATTAAAATATTTTCCTTTTTTTCTACTTCCAGCCTGTCTGCCTGTGGGATACCACTCTAATGTTACACACTTTCTTTTTTCAGCTAATTCCTCCACCCCTATTTTTGGTTATATCTCCGAAGACGGATTCCTCTCATTCACCTAATATGTAGTGGAAAGGTTTCATATGTATTGCCAGATATCTTCAAATAAGTACCTCTTTACTGCCTTGCCCAGAGGTGGTAAGTTTTCATAAAGGTACCGATAATAAACGCTTTCAGCCTCAAGAGTCCCATGGTCTCTATTACAACAACTCAACTCTGTCATCCTAACATGAAAGTGGCTCTAGATAATACATCACAAATTAATGTGGCTGAGTTTCAGTAAAACTTTTGTGTGTTGACATTGCAATTTGAGTTTTGTATCATTTTCATATTTCACAAAAAGTTTTTCAATGACTTAAAATGATTTTAAACTATTCTTCATTTACAGCCATACACAAAGAGACAGGTGGGTAGAAGTTGACCCATGGGCTGTGATTTGCTGACCGTTGGCGTAGAGAAAGGGTACAATATCAGAATTATATGTAATACTATAGTGAAACTATTAAACATACTTTATATAGGTAGGTTTATCTGAAGTATCACACTATTTTGCAGTGGTAACTTCATTCACCCTTACAACAATGCCAACAAAGGGCAAAGCATCCAGCCTGGCTTATGGTGAGTCACTGCTATATGAAACCCTTGGGGGAACCAGCAGTTAGCATAATGGCTATGTCGCTGGACTCCCACGTAGTCGACTGCAGTTCGCGTCCCGGACCCGGTGGCTTAAAACTCACGCTGGGTGCATGTGCGTGCGTGCCCAAGATCCCGAGAGGAGAATGGAGGAGAAGGGATTGTGGCGTGACCATCCCCCCTGGGGGGTGATTTCTCGCTTTCTGTCTCTATGTCTCTCTCTGTCTGTCTGACGAGCGCACGTGCCCTATAGCAAAAACCTCTCCAAAAAATAAAAAAGGAAACCCTTGGCACAAAGACCATCAAGGGAGCAGAGAAAGATTACTTTCAATAAATTCTGTCTACCAAAATATACCATCGTACACAGCTCTGGATGTGTGCTATATTCATAACCAATAGGAAGTATAATTCAACCTTTAGATACATTGACAACTGCACACACCTTCCACTTATATCCACTTTTTCACATATTTCAGTCAAAATGAATTATGACACTTATTATTATTACTAAATTATTATTTCTATCACCTGAAGACATCTGAGTCCATCACAGTCAGTACAGTTGTGTGGGAGGTCAGGGGAAGCAGACTGGGAGAGGTAGCTCTTGTTACTTTGAAGTATTACATCAGAAGCAACATGATTCATTGGATTCTGGTGTCAAGGAGTCATGGATTTGGAAGCTGGCCCTATTGACCTCTGTTAGCTCCAAAACACTATAAATAGGAATCAGTGCCTAACTGAAGAGACTCTCGTGAGCTTAAAGGAGACAATACCCCTAACGCCTGACTCTCTGTAGATGTTCATAAGTCTCGATACCCACTCTCTTTTCCAAGGCGTCCTCAGAAAGCAAAAGAGGAAGCCTGCCGTAAACTGAGGAGCCAGCATGCTCCCTTTTTTTTTTTCAGGTCCATGTTATTTATAATGCTACACTGCTACAAGTTTTTAAGAAGACATTTCTTCTCATTTGGTCTTGTGTAGTCCACAAAAGGAAGCCTGATACTAATGTGATTTTATTTTGCTTTAGGCCAGAATCAATTCCATCAAATTCCTAGGATTTAGAAAAAAAAAATGGAGAAGAATTTCCAAATGCAATACATTTTCTATTTCATGAGTGCAGCCTAGTGGTGCCAATTTCAGGATAAATCTCTTATTCACGAGCAGGTATCATTATGGATTCATTGGTAATGGCATTTTCAGCGAGATAGAGAGCCAGTAAATTGTGATTCCTGAACTGACCAATTTGAATAATAAGAACTTCCATTCTGGCCAGAAGCCTGAGACAGTCTATCACACAGTGGATTTTTTTTTCCAAAGGAATAGTTGCTGAAAATGCTCTTCTATTCTGCTATATTGAGGCTCTGCGCTCTCCCCCCAAAATTGTACGTTGAAATTCTAATCCCTAATGTGACAACAGATGGTATTGGGAGGTGAAGCCTATGAGAGGTGATTAAGTCACAAGAGTGGAGCCTTCACGAATGGAATTAATGACTTTGTAAGAGTGCTGAAGGAGATGCCTCACCTTCTTCTACCATGTGAGGACACAGCTAAAGGGTGCCATCTACGAGTCAGGAAGTGGACCTCACCATAGGCCAAGTCAGTCATCTGGATCATGGACTTCTCAGCTTCCAGAACTTTGAAAATTAAATTCCTCTCACTCAATAGTCACCCAGTCTATAATAGTTCATTAGCCTGAATCGACTAGACCAATTCTGTGCTTCAATCTACCATTGTTATTTTGCTCAGAGTCTGTGCTCATACCTGGGAACATGAACAGTAGTAAGCCCCAGTCTCCTCTGTCACTGTCTCCCAAATCCCTAGTAGAGATGGACAGACAGAGGCAATGGTACCTACAGCTGTGAGAACACCTAATGGTATACATGACACTGTCTGACTGCAGGAGCAGGGAAGGCTTCATGGAGAAAGTAAATGTTAATCTCAGCCTTAATTGATAAGTAGGAGTTTGGTAAGGATAGAGAACATCCCATAGAAAAAACAGAGAAAACCAGGTAAAGACCTTCACTGTAATAAGTCCCTAGACACCTACCTGCTATGCTGAGGTGACTGTACTCTTCTGCATGCCATCACTCTATCTAGCGATGTCCTCTGTTTTGGAATTAGTTATACAGCATTACTTAATGTCTCCCCTGTAAGCTGTAATACAGACTCCCAAAGGCAGTATGTACCTACCTAACCGAAAGGAGATGGATTAGGATTCTCCAGGAAGACAAACCCAGTAGATTTGCATAGATAATATAAGAGAGGATTTATGCATAGATAATATAAGAGAGAGTTTATGAAAGGAATCAGCTCATGTAATTATGGCATCTGGGAAGTCCCACAACAGGCTATGAACAAGATCCTGGGATTCTAGTAGTATGGATTAGTTACAAGTTCAAAGGCCCCGGACGCAGGGAAGCCAATGATGTAACTCACTCACACTTGCTTAGTGAATGATAAATCTGTGAAAAATATTAGACTTTTCAAATAGTAGACTATATTAAAACAAGTAATGCTATAAGAAATGATACTTTAAGAGGCAACCTACAAATTCTGTTCTCTCTGCTGCTCAGTTTTGAGGATTGGGAACCTCCAGGCACACCTGTCCTGCTGCCAAGAGCTCCCCAGAATCACTTCCGCAACCCAAAGTAGCCATGAACCACATTTGGAGGAAGTCTGACAAGTTGCTGCCCTCTCCTTCCCAAGCATGTTTCCTCAGCCCTCATGCCTGGACTTCTGCTTGGTACTCTAAGCCCCTGAATGGGATTAGAGTGCTGAATCACAGCTTACTTAGCTAAAACCTTGACTTCTTGCCTAAACCTTTCTAAAGTCCAAGCTGAAACCCCAGCAACACACAGACTACGGTCCTATACAGGGGTCTCTCTGTAAAAGCCACTTACAGCAGCAATAATGACAGACTCCCATTTCCTGATCTCTTTGTGAAGACTTTCTATTTTACTGCATTATTGTAAGCACAGTCCTGGTCCACCTTAGCCAGCAGGACTGAGTTAGTGTTTGCCACACTCACAAAGACTCGTAACATTTGGATTGCTGGCTCCTCACTATACTTTGAGCAATTCTGCCACAGATTAGAGACCAAGGATCATTTTCGACATCCTCCATCTATCATCCCCAGTTTGGGGCTCCCTATGTCCCACTGGCCCAGCCCAGAGGCAGGGCTTTTAGAGGTGCTAGTTCAAGACAGAACGCTTACACCTGCTTTGCTTTTCACTAAAAGTTTGTTTAAAGTACTATCAAAGGGTATATTTTATATGATAGGGGTGACAAATTAGCAGGTGATAGGCATTTCCTCATTCTGGGACCAACATTCAGATGTTAGAAGCTGGTCGAATATTATTTATCTCAAATGCTTAGGACTAGAAGTGTTTCAGATTTTGGATTTTTTTTGAATATTTGAATATGTGCATATACATAATGAGAGATCTTGGGGATAGAACTTAAGTTTAAACATTAAATTTGTTTATGTTTCATATGGATCTTATACACATAGCCTGAAACTAATTTAATATGTACTTTTGTGGCATTTTGACTGCTACCCATCACATGAGGTCATGTATGGAATTTTCCACTATGTCTGTACTCAAAACGTTTTGGATTTTGGTACATTTTGGGTTAGAGATGCTTAACTTGTATTAAAATATTAACTTTAGAGTTAATTCTTTGCTAAATTCATACTCTGCACAATTTAAATATATGTGCATCTACAGAGAGATAGAGAGAGAAAAAGCATAAAGATGAATGCAAAATTACTTCTATTCCCATCCAGGGTTTAAAGTATGCTCCATTCTAGCTAGTAGTGCATGTTTATTTCCTCATTCTTAAGCAAAACCTGTAAGGTGGTCAGGTGAACAAGTAATGAAAGAAAATATACAAGACAATCTGAAAAGAATACATCCTTTATGTAAAGAGAAAACAGGCTTGAATACAAAGACATTTTTGGTATTCCAGAATGTGAAGTTTGAGCCTCACAGATCCTTTTTTCCCCCTTTTTTGATAACCTAATTCACATTTCACAACCTGAAGTTTCCTTTCATTATGATGATCACAATCTCCAAACCCAGACAACCTTTTACATACATTTAACAATTATTCTTATTTTAGAAATCAAAATAAGTCTAATTAAAATTACAAGAGCCTTACTAACCTTAAGAGCCAAGGTTTCAAAGAAAACCTGTAGTGTGTTTATATTGTCATTTACCATTTATTCCCAATTTTCTGCCTTCACTGGTTAGACAATTAACCAGTATTCAAGTCTGTGGAATACAGAGAAGCATGAAATTTACATAAATAAAATAAATTAACACAGTTAAACAATACAATATTGCCTCCTGACATCTCCATTTTCAGATGTCATCAACAAATAATCAAGATAGCGAGTCGGGGCAGGCATTGTTCCTTAATAATTGCTTAGATTATCATAGATTCACTAATCATTACAATATTATACAGAAATTTGTTTTTAATCCAGGGAACATATTGCTAATGACTGAAACATCTAACAGCATCATCTTTCCTAACAGCAGCAAAATGCCAGGGAATTGATTTTAATTAGGTTTTAGAAAAAGAATTATGTGGAATTCAAATATGTCATTCAATTTATATGTCAAGGAGACTCTCAAAAAGGATTATGTAGTGAGCTGGACTTTGGGGTAGAGGGAGGTCTGTGTTTGGAATCCTGCAATTCATCTTGGGTGATCTCACGGACGTACCGCTCCAGAGCCTCTCTCCCTCTGACCGGTATTTCCCAACAGGTTTCCTTCTCTTTTCCTTCTTCCATAGCAATAGTAGCCACTAAGGCAGATCATTGGGCTGTCTCCAGATCAAGAAAAATGACCACTTTCCAAATCTTCCTTAGTGTAACCAAAGGGGGTTTGGGCTTTAATTTAGTAAGGCAGTACAAATTTTTGAATTAAGAACTTATTTAATGAGGATTTGAATAAACAAAGCCTTCGAAGCAAAGAATAGAAGAGAAACCAAGGAAATGTTACAATTAAAAATGGGCCATTTTTAAGATGGTAAAATGGGGGCAGTGGGAATTACTTATGTCTTGTTCTACTAAAATTCTAACAATCCACATACGTAGTCACATTAGATGACCTTTCAGGAGAGGTCGATAGAAACTTTCTTGTGCGTTCTCTGACCGCTTTTGCTGCACTGAGATGTGTGAGGCAATTCTCTCTGGGCTTCTAGAAAGAATATTTCCTTTGTCAATATTCTGTAAGAGGATGAGTGAAATATGATGTAAATATTTTTTAGCATTATTTGAAAAAAAAATTCTACTCTCATAAATGACACATAGAACCAAAACAAAAAAGCAAACAACAACCTTTAGAAAAATTCTGACTGCTGGGAGGAATCTGTGCTCCCAAATTCCCTGAGGCCCCTTGGAAACATCGACTTCTGAGTGGAAAATCATTGGGAATTCCCTCTGATTTGTAAGTGACTACATTTCCCATCACAGTAAATTTGATTTCTGCTGTAAGATTTAAAAAAAAAAAATCAATGTCCAAATCTGATGTTACCATTTTCAAAAGTTAAATTTCCCTCACATGTTTTTCCTTTTCACTTCCATTTATTTATCCATTTATCCACTCACTCACTCATTTAAGCTTTATTGAACACATACTATCCTACCTACTCTGCTCCCCAGGAGTAGAAGAGTTCTTTCCTGACTTCACATGAAGCCAAAATACTCATACAAGAATCTTGCAACAGGGTAAACACAAACACAGTAGGAGTCCTAAGCTCTAGAAAATGAGTGCCATGTGGTGATAAAAGAATAATGATCATAAGTGCCAATCACTCTATTCCAAACTGTAGCTTACACAGATTAACGGAAAGTCTAAATAGAATGGACTGCTATTTCAATTCACTTAAAGCAGACTCATACAATACACGTTGAAATTGTAATATGATGTGGTACTAGACAGAAATGTTTTCAAGGTACTGGAGACACAAGAAATGAAGCAAGGAACTGGGGGGATGGGAAGCAGATATTGAGGTCATGAAAGTTTCCACAGAGAAAACCCCTGGGCAAGTTTCTAAAAAGATGAGTAGGAATCTACAAGAAAAATATGAAGGAGAAGGTGTTCTGGTTAGACGAAGTAGTAAGAGCAATGGCTCAGAGAAACTGCAGGCATTCTGGATAGGCTCTAGTGGAGGGGTTAGTGTTGGAGGGTGAGAAAATCAGATTATGCAAGGTCTTTTCTACCTTACCAAAGAACACAGATTTTATCCTGCAAGCCAATGATTCTCAAACTTTCTGTTTCAGAATCCCTTTTATTTTAAAAATTACAGAGGACCCCAAAGAGCTTTTTATTATGTGCTATATTTATTGATATTTACCACGTTCAAATTAAAACAGAGAGGGGCCAGCAGATGATGTAATGGTTACCTCACTGGACTCCCACATAGTCAACTGTGGTTCAAGTCCTGGACGGTGGCTTGAAACTCATGCCGTATACATGTGCATGAATGCCCAAAATCCCAAGAGGAGAATGGAGGAGAAGGGATTTTATCATGGCCACCCTCCCAAGGGGTGATCTCTCACTTTCTGTCTATCTCTCCAGTGAGCACATGCACCCTATAGTGAAAATCTCTCTCTCTAAAAAAACTTGAGAAGTGTTCAAAATACATACTTATTAATTTATTTAAAATTATTACAAATCCATTACATGCTAACATAAATATTTTAATAGTAAAATAATTATATTATCTTTTAAAAAGTCAGTGAGAGACCAGCAGTTAGCATAATGGCTATGTCGCTGGACTCCCATGTAGTTGACGGCAGATCGCATCCCAGACCCGGTGGCTTAAAACTCATGCCAGACGCGTGTGCATGCCCAAGATCCCGAGAGGAGAACTGAGGAGAAGGGACTGCAGCATGGCCATCCCCCCGGGGGGTGATTTCTCGCTTTCTGTCTGTCTCTCTCTGTCTGTCTAGTAAGCGCACATGCCCTATAGCAAAAACCTTTCAAAAAAAAATCAGCGAGAAAAATTTAATTTCTAGTTTCTACAAATCTCAATGTCTGGGTTAGGAAAAATAAAGCTTAATTCTTCTGTTTCCGTAGTCAGTTGTGACATCATGGAGCCACTGGAAATTCTACTGTCTGTTCATGAGAGAATGAACATGAAAAGCATAGACAACATTTTTGTGTTACTATAAACTTATTATAAACATCACTTGATATTTTAGATACCCCTGAAAAGATCTTTAGCATCTCCAAAGAGATCCAGTCCACACTTTGGGAATACTAACACTGTTATGGATTGAGATTCAGGGTTTTTGTTGTTATTTTAGAGAGAGATTTTTGCTTTAAGATGTGTGTGCTTGCTGGAGAGACAGAGAGAAACAGAAACAGAAAGCAATAAATTACCCGCCAAGGGAGGATGGCCACAGCGCAAGTCTGTCTCCTCCATTCTTTCCTTGGGAGCTTGGACACTCAAGCAAACACATCTGGCAGGAGTTTTAAGCCGCCGGGTCCAGAACTCAAACTCAGACCACGATCAACAACATGGAAGTTCAGCAACGTAACCATTATTCCATGTATTGATCCCAATATTTAGGTTATTTTTTAATAAGAGCACAAAGTGGCCATGTCTGCATTTTAGAAAATGCCATTTCATGGGCTATAGATATGAAGAAAACAAAGTATAAATATTTTAGAGAATATATCTAAGTTTTACAAATGATACTGAAAATTTTCATGGATCTTAAGCACTGGATTTTTACTACAGAGATTTTATATTTTAGCATTATCAAGACAACACATACCCCTTTAAATATGTTCAATATCTGCCTAGTCCTATAATTAAAATGAAAATAAAAGTAATTCTTAATAACTTTATGCCAACCAACTTAAAATTTATAGAAAATGCACAATTATAGAACAAAAATCACTTATTAAAACTTACACAAAAAGAAAGAGAAATCTGAGCAGTCTGATAAGCAGGACTGATGTTCATCTAAGAAGCCCTAGTAGAGTCCTATTATCTATTCACAGCTGGCAACCATTTGACCAATCAAGTATCTACTCCATGTGACCTATTCCTATTCCTTATCTCATGTTAAAGATTTAAAATATCACTCTGACTTATACCTATTGGATACTTGAATCAAAATTACTTTTTTTGCAAATAAAACTCTAAGCTCAAATAAGTTTACCATTGGGATATACTAAACAATCAAAGAAAAAATAATTCTAAACTTATACAAATTATTCCAGAGAATACTAAAGGAACTATTCTCTAACTCATCCTAAGGATATCTATGGATAGTTCATCCATAATCTTAATATCAAAATATGACAAAGAATATACAAAAAAAAGGTAATTGAAAGACTTCAATCATGAATCCAGATTCAAACTTCTAAAGTGCTAACTGAATATAGAACTATACAAAAAGGAGAATATACAATATACAAAAAGGAGAATACACCATGACTAAGTTAAGTTCATTCAAGTAATGAAAGTATCTTTAATATTGAAAAATCAATTGATATAATCTCCCACATTAATACATTCAGGTTATAAGATCAATATAAGAAAATTAATTATATATTCATATATTAGACACACAATATGGATTAAAATACCATTTTAAAAGGTATGAAAAATATAAGACACGTAGGACTAAAGCTAAGAAAATGTAAAAATTACCCTTTCCTCTTAGGAAAAAAAAAATGTCCCTTTCTTCTTTGGAAGAGGGAAAATAATAAGGCATATTAAGAAACATTAAAGAATGGGGTCAGCAGTTGGCATAATGGCTATGTCACTGTACTCCCATCTAGTCGACTGTGGTTTGAGTCCTGGACCCAGTGGCTTAAACTCACATCCGGTGCATGTGCATGTGTGCTCAAGATCCCAAGAGGAGGATAGAGGAGAAGGGATTGCAGCGTGGCCATCCCCCCGATTTCTTGCTTTCTGTCTCTCTGGTGAATGCATGCACCATATAGCAAAAACCTCTCCAAAACAAAAGAAGTATTAAAGAAGACTTAAGTGAAAGGAGAAACGTGCAATATTCATATCTTGGAATACTAATATTATAAATATAGTAAATCTTCCAAATTCACTAATAGAAGCAAAGCAATTCAAGTCAAAATTCCAGCAGACTTTTGTGAAATTTAACAAACTGATACTGTTTACATGGAGAGTCACAGAAAAAAAGAATAGTCAAAATACTGTAGATGATGGACAAGATGGGAAAGCATGATCTGCCAGTGTCAAGTTATGAAAAGGTAAAGTAATTACTATATTGTTGGGACAGGGATAAGCAAATTGCCCAAAGGAGAACCAAGAAACTTTCCTGTACATTGATGGAGACCTGATTCATGACAGATAGTACTTCAAAGAATCAGAAATAACATTTTTTAAAACAAAATATGTTGGATATCCATAGGGGATCCATACCTCACGGTAACACAAAAATAAATTCTGAGTGTGAACAATAAAACCCTAAAGCTTTTAGAAGGAAAGGTGAGTGAATATATCCTCAGAGTTTGGTAATCATTTCTCAAATAAGAAACCAACAAGTAATAACCCGAGAGAAAAAAAGATTGATATATTTGATCACATTGAAATTTAGATCTTCTCTTCATGAAAAAACACCATAACAAATTAGACAATCTGGAGATAGGAAAACTAAATTGCAAGGCATACCTCAAAGACTAATATCTAGAATATATAAAAAGTTCTGAAAAGTAAGTTATGACAATTCAGCAAAAAAGTAAACAAAAAAGAAATAGAACAGATATTTCACAAAAGAAGAAATCTAAATAGTCAATGAATATATGTACACCTCACATGTACTTTCTCAGACCTTCTTGACCTTAACTATCTTCACAGCATGTGACCACTTGTTCTGGCCTCAGTCATTGCCAAGTCTACCAAGAGGACTCTGATCAACTTCATCCAAACACAACTCAGTGGCCTCTAACCTTAACCTATGCTGAGCATCTCTTACTGCCTTCCACAGGGACCTTTTTTTTTATATATAATTATAACCAGTTATCACCCATACATTTAAACCCCAAAAGTATATGGGAGCCCAGGTTCCATGGATAATCTTTGATGAAGATAGGAGTCAATAAATGATTATCCTTTCTTCTTGATTTGCTTACTTCCCAAAACTATCATGCACAGATTTACATAATACAACTTTTCATACAGTCAGAAGATAGTGCTATGAGATCAAACAATCATTTATACTTGATAACA